CCTTTCCGTTTATTTCCCCAAACCCTGGAAAGTGGATGCTATTATTAGTTCCATTTCACAGATGAGGAAGTTGAATTGTCACTGCCTAGCTGTGAGTTGCACAGCCCTGGGATCTGCCTCTGTGGAACTTAAAGCCCAGTGGGTGACACAAATCTATCCCTAAAGAGTGACACATCAGAGTGGGCAGGGCTGGGACAGTGGGGCTCAGGGGGCTCTGGGAGACCAGAGGAGGGATTTGCCCAGCCCGGGGCAGGGAGGTTCCTGGAAGGCTTCCTGGAGAAGGGGATGGCTCAGCCATGACCTAAAGTGGGAGTAGCCAGTGAAGAACAGAGGGAAAATGTTCCAGCCTTAAGGTGAGCAAACATGATCTTTTTAGGACTACAAGGCTTTCCGCCTGGCTGACGTGTAAAGGGGGAGAGGAAGAGACAGCGGACTTTCATCAGGGGCCAAGTCACGCAGGGTTCCTGGACTCTTTCCTGCAAATGACAGGGATGTGCTGAAGGGTGTGGCTCTGATTACTCACAGTGGGTAGAAGTAGACTGAGAGGATGTGGGTTTCATTTCCTTCCTTGGGTTGTGAGAGGACTGTAGGATCTGGAAGGGGAGAACCGAGGGGAGCAACCATTGTGAGGTACCACTACACCCCAAAAGATATGAGGGTTGTAGGGGGGCGCTGGTGGGAGGTGAGAGAGAGGACATGCCCCCTCTGGTAGCTCTCGGGGAAGGACAGGCAGGTGGCTGTTATTTGGGGCTTTCTCTGCCAGTTTTCTCCCACCCAGCCTCAGAGTACAGAAGGTAAAAGCTCTGCCCTCGCCAACCCCACCACCCCATTCTCTATCCAGTCCACGACCGCACCACAAAGAGGACAGGACAGGGGTTTTCATCACTGTTTTCCACGTGAGGAATATGAGATTTAGCTGCCATGAGGTCTTTGCCCTGCACAAAACTCTGCGGCTCAACACAAAACTGTAAATCAATTATACTTCAATTAAAAAAGAAAAAACAACCCTATGGCTCTCTGCTGCCCACGTGCCTCCTGGTCAGGATGCACAGCAAGGTGCTACAAGCCCCAGGACGCCAGAAATAATATCTGCTGTTTGTTGAGCAGAAAAATAAACAACATTTTTAGCCATATAACTCATTTCTAAATAACTGATTTAACCATCACCTCATGTTTTCATGATCCTCTATTTTACAGGTGAGAAAAAGGAGGCAAGAGAATCATACAGGTTGCTTAGAATCACCAGCTGTTAGTTGGTGAAGATGGAATTTGAACCAAGGGAGTCACACTCAGAAGCCCCCACCTCACCGTTCTCAGCCTCCATCTCTCTCCCCCTCCCCTCTTCTTTCTTCCTTTCTCTCTCTCCCCTTCCCTCCTTCTCTTTCTCTCCCCACCCTCCTGCCCAGCCTCCAGGTTCCTACGTCAAACCCTTTGTGACAAACCTTCACATCTGAAATTGTAAAAGCTTCAGTTCACTACCATGAGCCACCCTGGGTAGGAAACCCCGCCATACTCCAACTTTGCTGGCAAGAGCACTGAATGACAATTTGGCACCATTCTCCGAGACCACAAATACGCATGCCCTTTGACCCAGCAAATTCACTTCTAGGAACCTATGGAACTGATACTGTCGCACACGTGTGAAATGGCGTGGATGTGGTTACTCAGAGAAGGATCGTTTGCCAATGCTAAGAGTTGGAAACATTTGAAACGGCTATCTGCTGAGGACAGGTTCAAAATTTTTGCTGTGTTCATCCAAAGGAATGCTCCATGGCTATGAATAAGCAAACGAATGCATGAGACGGCTTGTTTTGTCCTTTTATGGAAAGATCACCAAGATACATTGTCAAGTAAAAAGCAGAAAGAGGCAGAATGATGCTACGATTTATTGTTTCCAATGTGGGAGAGAAGAATAAGGAAATATTTTCCCCATTGCTTGATGATACAAGCTTCCAGATGATTCTCCTGGATGCAGAAGTTAGAAAACCAAGACTTTCATGGGATGAGCCCCAAGGAATTGTAACAGGCCCGTTGGAGACATCCATTCACTTATTTATTCTTTCAATAGATATTTCAGCACTTGTGTAAAGAAAAATGTCCAGAACTGGTCCCAACCCTCAAGGAATTTAGAATCTTGACAGGGAGACGCACAGAAGCAAGCAGTTATGTCCAAAAGCCACACTTGCTTTTCCTTCCAAACCTACCACTTCTGACATCGTCCCCATTTCAGTCAAAGGCCCTCCTCCTCCCGCCAGGTCAGGACCTTGGGGTCCTCGGTGAGAAAGAGAGGTTTCCCTCATGCCCTGCATCCAATTTGCTGGCAAATCCCTGGGTCTCTACCTTCAAAATACATTAGAATCCAACCGCTTGTTCTCTCCAACCCCACCACACCCAGTGGTGAGCCTCCATCACCTCCCACCTGGACCACTGCAGTCACTTCCCCACTGGCTTCAACCCTCAACCCCCTACAGCCTGTCCCCAACATGGCAGCCAGAGGGATGCCATTAAAACACAAGTCTGATCACATCAGCTCAAAACCCTCCAAAGTCTTCCCATCTCCATAAAATGTAAACATCTTACCATGGGCCACTCAGTCCAATAATATTCGACCCCTTCCTACCTCTCCAAACTATTCCTTATACCCCCATCACTCTTCCCACTCTAGCCACACCGGCCCCTTTGTCAAGTCAGTAAGCAGGTTTGTGCCTCAGGGCTTTTGCACTTGCTGTTTTCCTGGGCCTGAATTATCCCCAGGCAATTGCCGGGCTGACTTCATTTAGGTTTCAACTCCCCATCTCAGAGAGGATTTTTCTATCAGTCAGCTTTCACTGGATTTTGCTGCAATAACAAACAATCCCCAAATCTTGGTGCTTTGAATCATCAACTCCTCATTCATGTTACACGTTGACAGCAGGTCAGCTGTGGCTCTCCTTCACACATCTTCTTTGTCCTACGATCATGGCTGAAGGAGCAGCCCCATCTGGTACAGGCAGTTATGGGAACCAAAGAAGAACAACAGAGGGGAGGATTTAGGTCAAGTGGTAGAGCACGTGCTTAGCATGCACAAGGTCCTGGGTTCAGTCCCCAGCACCTCCATTATAAATAAATAAATAAACAAACCTAGTTACCCGCCCCCCCCCACCAAAAAAAGAAGAAGAACAATGGATGAGCCAGGCCACAGCCTTTAAACATCTGCTCAGAACCGGCTCATGTGGTCCCCTCCAAATGCAAGTCAATTGATGACACCTAGTGCACAGGCTCACACCTGCATCAAGAAGCACAAAGCTGTGAAGGTTTTTTTGTTTCTACCTTGGGAAGGAAGAATACATAGAAGAAGCTAGAAAAGGGAGAGTCAAAAGTGTTGGGCAGCCACAGTGGGTGGGGAGGGTATAGCTCAGTGGTAGAGCACATGCTTAGCATGCACAAGGTCCTGGGTTCAATCCCCAGTATCTCCATTAAAAACAATAATTGTAGTAGTAAATAAATAAATAAATCTAGTTACCCCCCCCCAAAAAAAGTGTTGGGCAGCCACAAAGGAGGAATATTGAAGAAGTTCTTCCTTGTCTCCTTACTGTGTCTTATTTTTTTTCACAGCTTTTACAATTCCCTGGTATGTATAGTACCTGTCTACATTTTTAAAAAATTATCTTTCTCTCCCCAAGTCCCATCCAGCACGGGACCTCCAGGAGGGCAGGAATTTTGTCTCTTGCTCACTGCTGTATCTTCAGTGCATAGGACAGGGCCAAGCACACAGTGGGTGTTTAATAAACATGCACTGATTGAATGAATACAAAGAGCAAAAGGCCATGGGGAGAGAGCCCCGGGAGCTGTGGGAACCAGAGGTGGGTGGCTTCAGTGAAACCCCAGACCGCCCCTCAGGGCTCAGAGGTGGGGAGTGGCCAGGGGAGAGGCTGTCAGGGGAACCAGACAGCTCCTTGACTCAATCCACCCTTTCCGACTGGCACTAATCTCCCTCCAGCACATTCTCATCCAGCCTCATCCAGACCTGCAATAAGACATTTTATTTAATTCAGCAATTTTGACAGCCTGGACCTTTTGGCCTTCCCAAGTATTTACTGACTCAAAGGTTTTTTACCCTGGGAATACCAGCCACCAAAGGCCCTCTCCCTCCTACTGACCCTCACCACACCCAAGCCCTATCCCTGAGATCTGCCCTTTTCTTGATCCCATCTTTGACTTCATCCCTAACCTTTGCCCCATCCCTGCCCCTCAGCCCTGCCTTGACCCCCACTTTTGAGCTTCAGTAACAGAACCTATATCATTGCCATTGCACAGAATTGTTCAGGACCAAGGCTCTCATTGTTTGTTTTCAGACAGAGGCCCCATTCCTGTCACCAAGAAGTCAGATGCCTGGTGGGGAAGAGACAGAATATGGGGTGAAGTGAGCTCTAAATCTCAAGTCCAAACACTGGCGAGGGGACGAGGCAGCCTCTGACCATCCAGAGCCCGAGAGGAGGCTGCTGAAACCACAGTAGCCATAGCCGGGAGCCCTGGGAGGAGGGGAACTCCCGAAGGTGACATCATGGTCCAGGGGAGGAACACAGAAGCTGCCACAGGTTCCCAATTCGGAAATAACTCAGTGGCCCAGAAAAAGAGTGTCAGAAAATTCAGAGATTTCCCAGAGACCAGCCTCAACAGTTCTATTCAGAAACTCACCCACATACATCCAGAGTGAAAAACACCAAGCATCGGAGCCACGCACTCACCCACGGCTGTGCCAAGACGGAGAGGGCAGCAGGAAACAGAACCCCTCAAACTGGCCAAAGCCCAGAGGGTATTTTCTCAAAGGATATAAGGATGTCACAGAACAAGGGTCAGAGTCACTAGCAGGCCAGGTGGGGACCAGGAAGTCTCCCAAGCTCTATGTCCGAGTAGATGGCTCTCTGGGTCTCTCTCTGAACTCTCAGTTCTCTCCCATCTCACTGACTGTCCTGTCACCGGAATTCGATGACAAGTGTCAGCGCAGGCGCGGAGGGAGGGACTCAGCCTGCGCACCAGGAGCCGGGCGGGGACAGGGCGCCCTAGTCTTCCTCTAAGCCAGTCTGCGGAGGGAAGAAGCCGAACTTCCCCTCCCTGCCCCCAGGCCCCGGCGGCGGAGCGCGGCCGCGATTCCCGGGCAGGAGCGGCGGAATCAGGGCCGCCGGCGGCGGCGCGGCCACAGCGAGCGGACGCCGGGTTAGTGGAGAAGGCGGCGCGCCCAGCATGGCTCAAGCCGTTCTCTTAGCTTGGCCACGGCTGCTGATACCCCTGCTGTCTCTGTTCTGGTGGCGCACGGGAGCCGGTGAGTGACCCCGCGCGGCCGGGCTGCCCCTGCTCCCCTCCTCCCTCTTCACCAGCCCGGGCACTCGGTCCCCTGCGTTCCCCGAGGCTGAGAGCGCCGTCCTCCCCGATCCGCTCCGCCCCAGGGATGGAGGGATGCCGGGCCGGAGTCGGACCCTTCAGCGAGCTTCCCGGAAAAGCAGCCAGACTTCGGTCAGCCTCGGGGTAAAATAAAGTGGGTGTGCTGTGCCCTGGCACGGCACCTGGCGAACCTGCTCACCCTGCTCACTACTCGCAAACCCTTCTCCCCGGCTGCCAACAGCCCGCTGCCGGTGAGAGAGGATGCTGCATGGGGGAAAGAGGGGCAGCGGCACAGAACCCCGTTCCCCTTTGACCCCAAATGTGTGGCTCTAAGGACGTGGCCGTTCGTTCGTTCGTGCATGCATTCATCCCACACACGTTTACTGAGTACCTACTATGTGTGGGGCAGCGTTCCAAGTATTGGGGATACAGCTCTGATGTCAGACGGCCCCGGGTTCAAAATAGCTTTTGACATTTAATACTTGTGTGAGCTCAGGAAAGTGACCTAAGCTCTCTGTTTGCACAAAATGTGTGTTGGGGGTCTTGGAGTCGGGGTGGAATTGTACCTACCTTGTAAGGCTGTGTCTTGGGATGATGCTGAGCTAGGTCAATGCACTCCAGAAGACAGTAATGATGATAGCGACCATTCATGTGAAGAACAGTAGTATTGAGTGTAGACTCCTTCGTGTCCTCATTTCCCAAAGGTCCCATGCTCTGCCCCTTGCTTGCTGGTCAGCCTAGGCGAGTAGTTTGACCTTCCAAAGCTCACTTGCCCTTCGATCCAACGGGGATGAAAATACTAATGTGTGCCCCATGGACTGTGGAGAGGGTTGGAGACAGCCTTGCTTAAGGGAGCAGCCCAGCGCCTGGCACACATTAGGAGCTTGGACCTGGCTATTACACAGGCAACAAGCCCAGAGAAAGGTCACTTCACCCAATTTCATCCTCATAGTGGCCTTGCCATCAGAGGAGACTCACTCGCTCAGAGCAGCACAGCACATCAACGGTGGAGCTGGCATCCGAACCTAGACTGGCATGCTCACCACCCCACAATCCCCTTGAGTCCAGACCATGCCCTTCTTCCACACAGCAAGCTCCTAGCACCCCTGCCCACTACCTCCCAGCCTCCTCTTCTTCATAACAATACTTATGATATTGGTCTTTATAGCGTGCTGGGCATATGCTTTCCAGAAATTTCATCCTTTAGTCCTCACAACACCCTGTCAAGTTATAACCACTCCCACTTTACAGATGAGGAGACTGAGGCTCAGAGGAGTGAAACCACTGGCACAAAGGTCACAGCTAGTGAATGAGTAGCAGGACCAAGATTGAAAGAACTTAATTCCTTCTCACCTCCTCCTCATCCTTATTATTATTTATAAGAATGCACAGCATTGTGTTTATCAATATCAAGAAAAGCCAACGAGTATTGAGGACCTACTATATGTTGGAGCCCTAGGAAGAAAGATTTTCATATGAAGTCTGGTGGATTAGAGGTCAGGAGTACCCTAGGTTCAAATCCCACCTCTTCCACTTGCCCACTGTATATGACCTGCATTAAAAGACTTGTTTCCCCCCTCTCTAAAGTTGGGCTGACCATAGTGTTTGCCTCGAGGAGCTATTTAAGGACTAAATGCTGGGAGACATGAGAAGCACTCAGAACAGTCCCTGATATGTGTAAGCAACTTGTGAATGTTTACTGTTACTAGTCCTATTTTACAAACTGGGAAAAAGAATCAGAGAGGTTAAGTAATCTGCCTGAAGCCTCACAGCAGAAATCTGGAAGGGATTCAAAACCCTAGGACTATCATCACCTCCCTTCTTGTGCCAAGATCCCCTACAAATACTTTCCTACCTCCAGGCCACGGAGAGTAATCATAATACCATATTTCATGGATTCTGAGACCTTGAGTTTCTTCCCATTTTCAGACCTTTAAATCAGAGATGCTGTAACCACTGACAGTGAGTCGTGCTGTAAATGACAGCATCCCCAGTGCCTCTTAAAATCGATGTCTCTAGGGTGATGAAAAAAGTTTTGTAACTAGAAAGTGATGATGGTTGCACAATATCATGAATGTACTTACTGCCACTGCAAGATGGTACTTTTAAATTATTTAAATGGCAATTTTAAGTTTTTTAACCACAATAGTGACCACAATATTTTAAATGATGATGCTGACATAGAGGAAATACGGTAATAACAGCCCTTCGAAGGGGCGTGGGCCTGGTTGCAAACCCAGTCCAGCCCCGCTAACCCTTGCTGCTGCCCAGATCCAGAATGATTCCCACCCCACACCCCCTACACGCTCCCAACCAAGGGGCTCCAGGCCCCAGGCAAGCGACCTCCTGGTCGCCCCTCCCCATTCAGATCAGGGACACCCGGGTGTGACCCGCCCCGTGTTTCCCCACAGAGACTGAGGTGGTCAGTGTACTGGCCCCTGCCCAGGTGCACGGCTTCCTGGGCGACACCGTGAAGCTGCCATGCAAATTACAGCTCATGGAGGATAAAGTGACAGTGACTCAGGTGACTTGGACCCGGCAGAAGCCGACGGAGGCCATCCGCAGCGTGGCAGTCTTCCACCCTACCCAGGGCCCCAGTTTCCCCGAGCCCGGGCGGTTGGAGTTTGTGGCCGCCAAGCCAGGAGAGGAGCTACGGGACGCGTCGCTGGCCTTGCGGGGGTTGGGCGCAGAGGATGAGGCCAACTACACCTGCCAGTTCGCCATGTTCCCTCAAGGCGGCAGGAGCGCCCGAACCTGGCTCCGGGTGCTGGGTGAGCCGGGATGACTGGGGACGAAAGGGAAGGGCGTGGCGCAGGGGTGGGGTGGGGTGCGGTACGTAGAGAGGTAAGCACAGGGTGGGGATAGCCGGAAGGGAGTGAGATTCCCTCCAGAGCAGTGATTCTGCGGGCACAAAAGGATGTAGGGCAATGATGGGGGCAGGGGGGATGCAGAGGGGGAGGTTAGAAAGGGGAGGGGCTGGAGGACCAGAAGAGAGTAGCGATCATGGGGAGTAAGACCTTGGGAGACTGAGAGCAGAGGGGATGGAGAGGCTGGGAATGCTGTGTGGGGGAAGGTGGGGGCTGATGCGAGTACGGGGTGGGGGGAGAGGGAGGGGTCTAGGAAGCCCGGGGACCTGGGTTTGGACCCCAGCTAGCCACTACCAGCCTGGGCAAGGGGTTTCCTCTCAGAACCTCCTTTCCTCATCTGTAAAATAGGCTTAGTAAAAATACTGCTGCCTTCAGAAAGCTATCCTGAGGGTCCTGGGAGTTTATCAGGTGAATTGCTTAGAACAGAAGCCCATGTGAGCTAGCGACTACTCCCTTTGGGGAGGAAGAGTTGAAATAGACAGACTGGGAGGCAGGGATCCTGATACCCCGTAGTGGAGGGCTTTCCCCGTGGGGCCAGTTGCCCTTGGGCATTGTCATGGAATCCTGCGGTCATTTTCCTGAGCACCAGGGAGTCAGGCCTTCCTCTTGGCAATTGAGTACAATTGTTCAAGTTCCTCAGCTGTGAAAGGGAGCTCACTCTGACGATGAATAAGAGCTGACATTACCTTTTCACTTAGATGCCAGGAACTGTTCCAAGCCTTGCATGAATGACTCATGAAAGGTTAAGTGCCTGGAACAATGCCTGGCATACAGCACCCAGACAAAGGCAACTCTCATCATTTCAGAAAACTTGGGACTTCAGGACTGATGGTTTAGGATGAGGGTAAAACAGAACCAGTGAGTCAAGTTAAAGAGAAATCTTCAGTAACAATAACTCAGGTACTGATGAGAAAGGAACCAAGTGAAGCCCCAGGTCAGGGAATCACCAAAATGATGATTAAGAAACAGTCGAGGTAGTTTTGGAGTCAGATAGACCTCGTGTAAAAGCCCAGCTCTGCCGCTGTAACTTTGGGCCAGTCATTTTCCCTCTGAAACTCCAGGGCACAGCTCAGCCCTCCTCTCTTCCAAGAAGCCCTCTGCAACCACCTACATACCACCCCCAGATTCAGGCACCCCTTCTGGGCTCCCCCATCCCAGCCTTGCTCACTCAGAGTCATCACTGTCTAGGGAAGTCTCTCTTCCCCTTGGACCGCCCACCCCAGGAAGGCAAGGATGAGGCTGTCTCAGTCATTGCTGGGTCCTCAACGCTGCCCATCACAGAACCAGCCAATGGATTCAATTACCAATAATAAATAAATAAATAAATAAATAGGGCATTTATTATGTGCCAAGGACCGTTTTAAGAGCTTTACCTGCATTTTCTCATCACCAATAACTCTATCATCATCCCCAGTGGACAGACAAGGAAACTGACTTGCCCAAGGCCACCCTAATATATATATATATATACATAGTTTCACATTTTTTATTCGTATTTATTTGGGGGAGTAATTGGGTTTTTGTTTATTTATTTTTAATGGAGGTACTGAGGATTGAACCCAGGACCTTATGTGTGCTAGGCATGCGCTCTACCACTGAGCTACACCCTCCCCAACCCAAGAGCTGAGATTTGAACCTGGCCATTCTGTACCCTCAATTAGCCACCCTCCTCTGCTGCTGAGATGTTTAAGTGACTTCAGGCAAGGAGTGACCCGTCTCTTTCACTCCTATCCCCAGCCAAACCCCAGAACAAGGCTGAGACCCAGGAGGTCCCACTCAGCCCACTCGGCCCAGAGCCTGTGCCTGTGGCCAGCTGTGTCTCCACGGGGGGTCGCCCGCCTGCCCACATCTCCTGGTCCTCGCACCTGGACAGGAAGGCAAATAAGAGCCAGGTGCCAGGGCCCCTGCCCGGCACCTTCACCGTCATCAGCCTCTTAACCTTAACACCTTCAAGCCAGATGGATGGCGAGAACGTCACGTGCAGAGTGGAGCATGAGAGTCTGGAGGAGCCGGCGTTGCTGCCTGTGATCCTCAGCATGCCCTGTGAGTGTGCCCTGGTGGAGGGACCCCGCCCCCACCCTCCTCCTGCCACCGTCTACACTGACTTCCCAGGCCACTTTCAACATTACCCCATCATCCACACTAGCTTCCCCTGGCTATCGTCTACACCCCCTACACCATCTACACTGGCTCTCCTGGGTCACAAACAACACTGTCTTTCATTGCCTAAACCAACAGCTAAGGCCACAGTCCACATTCCTGTCCCGGGTTGTCTACCTGGCTGTCCTGGCCACTATCTCCACCAACGCCCCACACTGGTTTCCTTGAGCCCAATCTACACACAGTGCCTACATCTGACTCCCTGGGCAACTGTCCACACTGACCGTGTCCACATGGCTGCACACTTCCCCATGGTCTACACCGACTCCCTTGTTCGTTTTCTATACTGCCTTACCTTTGTCTACACTGGCTTCCCTGGGTCCCAGAAGCACTGCCTCCATTGTCTACACCAGTTAGGCCATCAGCTGTGGGGAGTTGTCACTGTTCCCCACGTTGCCTAAAGTGGTTCCCCTGACCACGCTACATTGACACGCCACATTTTCTACACTGGTTCTCCTAGGATGTCTCTCACACTGACCCGCAACACTGCCTACACTGGCTCCCTTAGAGAACTGTCCCCCCAGTGTAGTCTCCACTCCCCTCTGCCCCAATGTGGTCTATACTGGCTGGTCTAGGGTCTGTGCCCCCATCGTTGTCTGTACTGAATAGACCCTCCCAGGCAGCTGCTGCACTGATTCCCTCAGGCACTGTCTACACCGGACCCCTTCAACATTGCCACTGGGTCTGAGAGAGGAGGGGATCTCTACTGACTCCCCCACACACAAACACACACATTCTGTCTCACTGGCCTTCCTCCTGGGGATTTTGAATAGTCTTCCCTGTCGCTCACTTTTGGGTTGGATAAGCAGCAGGCTGAAACAACATCATCCAGGATTCTTTCCTGCAGGACTTGTCAGAGCCTTGAATATGCTCCTGTGCATTCTGAGTGCCCAGGAGGTCCAAGGCACGCCAGGACCTGGCTTTACCCAGGAAAAGGAGTAGAGAGAAGCAGGTCCTGAGATGCCCTCCCTGTGCCTCACCACCTCTCACCCTCCGGAGGACTCCCCAGGCTTCTATTCTCAGAGGGAACCCACTGCCCCAGACCCCTTCCAGGCCTCTCCATCTTGGGCCCTTCCCGAAACCCACTGAGGCCTTTTCCAGTTGTGACATGAATTCCAAATATCTTTAGGCTGACTATGTGAAGGCTCCCTGTCTCTGAGCCTATGTGTCTGTTTCCCCCAGATTCCCCTGAGGTTTCCATCTCTGGCTATGATGACAACTGGTACCTTGGCCTCCGTGGGGCCACCCTGCACTGTGACGTCCGCAGCAAACCAGAGCCCACGGGCTATAACTGGAGCACGTGAGTCCTGGGTCGGAAGAGGGAGGGGCTGGGGACCCAGATTCCCCAGGATCCTGAGAAATGAGGGGGTGGGGGACCTGGACTCCTAGGTCTGAGGGAGGAGGGGTGTAGGCAGGAAAGTAAAGAGAGCAAGAAGTCAACTTGGGGCCCCCAGGAAAATTTCTGTCTCGCATGCATAGAGTTTACGAGGTGGTTTAGTCCAGATGAGATGACATACCGGCTGTGTGCCAAGTACTTAGCCTCAGCCCGCACAATCCCCATATTCTGGGCACAATCCACACTATCACCATGTCGGGTTAAAGACCAGCTGGGCCCCAGCAGCTGCCGTCATTGGCCAGGGCACATAGCCACGGAGGCGCAGAGGTGACTCCAATCAGCGCCTGGATCCAAACTCGATCCTCTTAACCCCTGGGCTGGGCCACCTGCCCAGCTACCTCGTGTAACCTGCTCTGTCCTTGCTGATGGAACAAGTCCTGTCCCTATTCTCTGGATGAGGAAATTGAGAGGCGGAGCAATCAGAAGGTTTCCTCAAATTCATGCGGACACTGGGGTTAAAAGTGAGGGAAGAGGGGGAGGGTATAGTTCAGTGGTAGAGTGTGTGCTTAGCATGCATGAGGTCCTGGGTTTAATCCCCAGTACCTCCGTTAATAAATAAACCTAATTACCTCCTCCCTAAAAAAAGTTAAAAAAATAAAAAGCATTTTTTTAAGTGAGGGAAGATAAAGGCAAAGGGGTAAATTGTTTTTATATAATTTTTATTGGGCCTTTTTCCTCACTACAAAAATAACTGGCAAGCATTGTGGAAACTTTAGACAATATGGTTATTGCAAAAAGAAAACAGCACCGAAGGTCAAGCATGCCCAGCCACCTCCAGGAATAGCCGCTGCGACCCCTTGTAATATGTCCTTCCTGTCTTTTTTTTTCCCCTCAATGTTTCTACACAAAAATTGTGCTGTACATACAATTTTGAAACTTCTCTGTTTTGTGAACATCCTTCCATGTCAAAGCCTGTAGATCCATTTTCCCCAACATTTTATCAGGAGATTTTTCAAACATACAGAAAAGTTGTAAGAATTGTCCAGCAAACACTCAAAAACCCACACGTGGATTCTCCCATTAATATTTTCCTGTTAGTTGTTTTTATCACATTCCTGCCCATCGGTTCATCCCTCTGTCCATCCATCAAACAGTCTTTATCTTTCATGTTTCAAAATACCCACAACCCCTCCTTCATGTTGCTCGGATTCCATCCTAGGTGATACCTTCAATGACTTAACCAATCCCAAGTGGGGATAGAGGCGCTTTCCCATTTTCAACTATGCAGATGTCATGGTGGAGACCAACCGTGTCTGTCCACCTCCATGGATACCCACAGTAGGGTCTTGATGGTGAAAGGAACTGCTGGCCAAAGGTTTCCAACTGGTGTTGACAGCCAGCCTTTATTTTCCTGCCCCAAAACACCACAGTTCAGGCTTACAAGCCACAGGGCGGGGTTTCCAGGTGCCCGCTCTGCCAAATGCCCAAATCCGTGCCTCTGTCTCCTCCATCCCTTACGCCAGTGTTTCCTGATGGCTGTGGGCCAGACGCTGTTGACCCACATACCTTGGTAAATAAAATAGAGCAAACTCCGTCCCCTCTTGGAGTTCCCATTTGGGTAAAGGAGAGAAACAATAAACAAGATAATGTTGTCAAGGACGGTAGATAAAGGTAGATGAAGGCCGTGGAAAAGATAAAGCGGGGAGAGGAGGATGAGGAAGGGGGTCACTGCATTTGAAATAGAGTGGCCCAGGAAGGTGTCATAAAGGTGACATCCGAGCAGAGGCCTGAAAGAGGTGAGGGTGAACAGTGTGGTACTGGTGGGAAGAGCATTCCACACACAGGGAACAGAACATGCGAAGACCCTGGGATGGGAGCATAACTGGAGTGTTTGAGGATCTACTGTTGGCCACCGTGGATAGCTAAGAGCAAAGGGGAGAGTAACAGACAGTGTGATCAGTGGCATCAGGGGGCCAGCGTGTATGGGACCCATACCCATGGTAAGGACTTTTGTTTTATTCTGAGTGAGATTATAGAGGTGGACTTTGGATAGAGGAGGGACTTGAGCTGACTTAGTTCTGATAAGATCTCTCAGGCTGCAGAATAAGGGACAGAGTGGGGTGGGGTGAGGGTAGAAATAGGGAACCCCATGAGAAGGTGGCCACAGTGGACCAGGAGTAGGGGGCACAGCCCTGGGTGGTGGCTGCGGTCCTTTGCACTCACCTCTAGATCCACAGTGGCCTCCCTGTGGATCCTCAAATACTTCAATTATGTTCCCATTCCAGGGTCTTCGCATATGCTGTTCCCTATGCCTGGAATGCTCTTCCCACCAGTTCGCACACTGGTTACTCTCACCCTTGCCTCCTTCAGGCCTCTGCTCAGGATTCTGTATATCCAGTTGGATTCTGGATAGATTTTGAAGGTGGGGCAGACAGGATCTGCTGATAGGCTGGACGTGAGTGTGAGCAGAAGAGTCAGGAGAACTCCAGGTTGCTCTCAGGGGCTATCACAGATGTCATGAGGGCTTCTGCGTTCCCAGCATACAGTAAGTGCTCAATCACCTGTCACTCTAGGCCTCCACCAGAGGCCCCTTCCTCACCCATGTGTCTCTCCCAGGTCCACGGGACCCCTGCCACCCTCTGCTGTGGCCCAGGACACCCAGCTCCTGATCCACACCGTGGATGAATCCATCAACACGACTTTCATCTGCCTTGTCACCAACGCCCTGGGGACGGGCCAGGCAGAACTGACAGTCCTGGTCAGAGGTGAGGCGCCTCCTGGGTGGGGAGAGCAGAAGGACCATAGAAGGAAGTCACGGGAGGATTCTCTCTGGGGGAAGAGTTTAGAAGTGGTCCCTGGTAAGGGAGCCCCTCAGCCACAAGAATGCTCTCTGACTCCCATCCTTCCCCTAAGCTCCCTCATGGAAGGTCCAACAGGACCAGCTTTACTCTCTGTTAACTCAACATCTGTGCCACGGGAACCACGGTACCGCCACCAGGACTCAGCCGCTCTGCAAACCTGGCTGGGGTAGCTGGGTGATGCCCCTTTCACTGGGACTCAGGAAGGCTTTCCAAGTGTATCAGGCAGAACTCTACCATTCAGAATTGCTAGAAGCACAACTCAAAATAGTGAAGCAAAAATGAGATTTAAAAAAAAATTTTTCTCCATCATTTCCTTCACCACCATATTTGAGTATTATTACCCTTCAGTAGTATTATATTTTAATATAATATATAAATAATAAAGTTCATCCTTTGAACATGTACACTTTTTTCCTTAGTATATTTTCGAGGTTTTACAGCCATCAGGACTACCCAATTCCAGAACAAAAAAATGAGACTTTATTGAAAATGTGCCTCCAAGGATGGTTAGATCCAGGTGCTCCAACTGTGTAACCCAGGAGCTTTTCTTTACCTCTCTTGTCTGTGCTTTTATCTATGCTGACTTCATTCTCTGGAAGGCTCTCCCCTCAGGAAGGTGAGATGGTCCTCAGCTCTCAGCCCAATTCAGTAATCCCAAGGGAAAATACACCACTTTCAATAACTCTAGCCACAGTCTCAGGGCTGGCTCTCACTGGCTCAACTTGGGTCACAGACCCCGCTATGAACCAATCACCGCAGCCAGGGAGAATGGAATGCCCTGACAGGCCGGGCCCAGGTCAAAGTCCCATCCTAGGAACCAGAGGATGGTGTCAAATCCACCTGAACCATATAGACTAAGGGAAGCAGAGCGGTAGCTTCCTTTAAAAATGAGGAGTAATGTTTTGGGGGCAGGTGAAAACCCCAGAAGTCTCTCAATTTAATTCTCTGCTTCCTTTTCCTGCAGGACTTCCTAGGGAGCAACCACATTCGGGCTTGCCTCCTTGGAAAATTATCCTCCTGACTCTGGGAATCCTGGTTGTTCTGGCCTTGTCCCTATTCATTTATCGCTGGCGATGCAGAAGCCTCTGTGAGTCCCCTCCTTCCTGGCACGTCCTCCGCCTCTCTGCTGTAAATGAACATCACCACAGCCGCCATAACTGAGCCCATACTATGTGCCAGGCTCTGCGCTAAGCCGTCCACGTGGCAGCCTCTCACTGAGTCCTCACCTCAGTACCATGAAGTTCCCCTATTTGACAGGCGAGGACATTGAGACCAGGGAGTTTGAGTCATTAGACTGTTGACTCATTTTACAAATATTTCGGGAGTGGGAGCAGATCCTGTAGGGCCTCGAAGCCCAGAGTAAGGACTTTAACTTTTAATTCAGTGACACAGGAGCCCCACCAGAAGGATGGAGGGCAGAATAACACTTAACTGCACTCCCACTCACCCCCAGCTTTCCTCTATCTGCCTTGCTCAGGAGTGACTCCCTAACTGCTCTCATGGAAAAAGAGGAGGTGGCAGGAACTGGCACCTCGATCCCTGGCTCAAAAAGGACCTGATGCTCTCACCTCAAGGACTTTGCAAGGCTGTTCCCCTGCCTGGAGCACCCTCCCCATGGCTCCCTGTGACAAAGTCCTGCGGCTAATTCTGTAATCAAAAGAACTATATTTTGCTGAGCACTTTCTCTGTGCCAAGGACTTCCTCTGCACAGCCCCCTTGAATGTCCACAACCACCCTGCAAAGAGAGTCCCGCTGTGAGCCCAACTTACAGATGAGGAAATGTTTGCTCAGAAGGGTGAAGTTACCTGCCGAGTGACACACAAGTGGAATGTCAGGAGTAGATGGCAGTTCTGTTGGCTGGAAAGCTTTGTTCCCTCAATCACTAAATAAAATTACCTCCCCACATCCCAATGGGAGGCCCCCTCCTCCAGGAGGCCCTCCATATTCTTCCTTGAAATGAGCCAAGCACCAGCTCTAGGCTCCCCTACCCCGGCCTTGCCCACTCAGGGATATCACTGTGCAGGGACTCGTGTGTCTCTCCAGTGGACTGTGAGCCCCAGGAGGGCAGAGCTAGAACCATCACAATCACGGCTGTATCCCCAGCACCACCTACCACCAGGATAGGCATGAAAGAGATATTTGAGGAAGTGTTTGCTGAATACATCATGTCCAGAGCCAGACTGCCTATGTCTGGGCCCACACTCTACTGCTTTATGGTGTCACCATGAGCAAATGACTTACTCTCTCTGACTCGAGTTTCCTCATCTGTGAAATGGAGTAACTGTACCTGATGATACAGGCAAAGGCCTCAGTGCAGTGGTTGCACTCTGTAAGCCACACGCGGGGCATACGCATAGCTGTGATTATTACCGCCACTCCTACGGTGTCTATGATGCTTAATATGTAAGTACCATGAGAGCAGGGATTTTTGTCTGTTTTACAGCTATATCCCTAGCACCTAGGATGCCCCTGGCACAAAGCAGACATTCACTATTTACTGAATAAATCCCGGTTTGATGGTTGAGGAAACTGAAGCCCAGAGAGGTTAAGTCAATTGCCCATTGTCACCCAGCTCCTTAAGGACAGAACAGGAATCTGAACCCTTCCATCTGGTTCCAGAGCCTGTGCTCTGTAAATATTGACTTATACCTAATAACTGAATGAAGAACTACATGAAGCGTATATCCCAGGTGTGTTTTAGAAATATAGAAACTGTTTTGGGAAGTGACTCCCCCATATCAATAGCAGAGCTGGGACTTAGAATTCAAGGGACACAGCCACCCACACGTCTTCTTCCCATGCTCTCCTGCACTGTCATTCATTCCTGACCACTTCTCCTCCTGCTTCCCCAGGTCACAAACGGCGCAGCCCCTCTGCTAATGGCGTAAGTGTGGTGGTGGGGCTGAAGAGGGTGTGTGTGTGTGGGAAGTGGGGTCTGCATGAACCTCAGATTAATCACTGTGGGCTTTCCCAAGGCAGAGCCAGGCATATCTGGGCACCTGCAGCACTGAACCAAAAGCCTGAATGGCCTCACATGTCAGGTCCTTGATCTCTTCTCCAAATGCCTTGAGCAGCAGTTCCCAACCCTTCCTGCCATAGCCCCTGTAAGGTTTGAGAAAATGCAGGTTCCTGGGCCTTGCCCCCTGAGAGTCTGGTCTGGTGGGTCTGCACTGAAGCCTGGAGATCTGCATTTTCACAGGCACCCCTTCCCTCCCCACTCATGACTCCACCTGGAGAAGTGTTGCCCTGGTTCCCAGAGGGTAGGGAACATGACTGCAGCTCTTTTTTTTCTCTTTAGGTGCACTTTTAATGAATTTTTATACACATGTAACAGTTTATGTAGACCACATCTGCACCACGGTCATGATACAGAACATTCTCACCACCCCCAAATTTCCTTCTGCCCCGTTTTAGTCAATTCTCTCACTCCCCTCTCAGCATCCACCAACACTGATCAGGAGTCCATCCCTCCAGTTTTGCTTTTCCTAGAACATCCTATAAGCACATATAATGCATCTGAGGTTCCTCCATGTTGGGCTGCCTCCATCAGTAGTTGGTGTTTGTATTTTTCTGAGTAGCATCAGATATACTAGTTTGTTTACTCACTGCTCAGTTGATGGACATTTAGTTTGTTACAAGTTTGTTGCTATTATGAATTGCTATAAAATTAATGTGCAGGGTTTTCTTTGTGGACATATGTTTTCACTTCTCTTGGGTAGATGCCTAGGAGTGGAATAGCTGGGTCTGTTCTTTTGCTAATGCCATCTTGCCTTGATCAATGTAGCTCTACTGTAAGTCTTGGAATCAGCTAGTGTTTGTTCTCCAACTTTGTTCCTTCTTCTTTTAAAAAGTTGTTTTTTAGGCAATTCTAGTTTCTATGTCTTTCCATATAGATATTGGAATAAGCTTCTCAATATCTACAAAAATGCATGTTAAGATTGGGATTGTGTTAAACCCATACATCAGTTTGGATCTGGCAATCCATGAACATGGTATATTTATTTAGATCTTCTTTGATTTCTCTTACCAATGTTTTATAGTTTTCTACATACAAATTTTACACATTTTCCCCAAGATTTAATAACTTTATGCTACTGTAAATGGTACTATTTTAAAATTTCGATTACTAATTATTCATTGCTAGTATATAGAAATAAAATTGATATCTGTATATTGACCTTTATTCTTTGATCTAGATAACCTACTTATTAGTTGTAGTAGCCCTACTATTTTTTAACATTATTTATAATTGCCAAGATATGGAAGCATCCTAAGCGCACATCAATAATAGATGAATGGATAAAGAAGACACAGCATACATATGTAATGGAATACAATTCACCCATAAAAAGAAGGATATTTTGCCATTTGCACCCCTTCATTCACTTTTTATTTCCACTTCAAAAACCAGAATTTTGTAACAGGTATAAACATTTTCATTGCATCAAAAACAACTAAATACCTAGAAATAAACTTAACCAAGGAGGTTACCTATACACTGAAAACCGTACAACATTGATGAAAGAAACTGAAGATGATACAAAGAAATGGAACGATATCTTGTGCTCTTGGATTGTAAGAATCAACATTATCAAAATGGCCATACTATCCAAAGCAATCTACAGATCCAGTGCAACCCCTGTCAAAATACTCACATTTTCCACAGAACTAGAACAAACAATTCCAAAATTTATATGGAACCATAAAAGACCCCAAATTGCCAAAACAATCTTTTGTTAAGTCTTTTTTTTTCTCTTTCTTCTTTTTGTTCTCTTTTCTTAAGTTTTGATGACTAGAGAAGTTCCTTTAACATTTGTTGTAAAGCTGGTTTGGTGGTGCTGAATGCTTTTAGCTCTTGTTTATCTGTGAAGTTTTTGATTTCTTCATCAAATCTGAATGAGAACCTTGCTGGGTAAAGTATTCATGGTTGTAAGTTTTTTCCTTTCGTCACTTTAAATACATCATGCCACTCCCTTCTGGCCTGTAGAGTTTCTGCTGAAAAATCAGCTGATAACCTTACGAGAATTCTCTTCTATGTTATTTGTTGCTTTTCTGTTGCTAATTTTCATATTTTCTCCTTATCCTTAATTTTTGTCAATTTGATTACTGTGCACTTTGGTGTGTTCCTCTTTGGGTTGATCCTGTGTGGAACTCTCTCACTTCCAGGATTTGGGTGACTGTTTCCTTTCCCAAGTTGGGGAAGTTTTCAGTTACTAATGCCTCCAGCTCTTTGCATGCTAGGCTTCAGGGAGAAGATTTTTGTTTGAAAAGCGCCTGAGGCTAAAGTTTGCATATCCTCCTTCTAGAAGGTCTCCTATTCAACTGTGGACAGTAAAGACAGCTCTCCCCAGGATCCGCCAACAGAGAGCACAAGGTGACAGCATCAGGACCGAATGGAGAGAGAGACTGCAGCTGGTGAGGATGTGGGTCTCACAGCCAGACCCCGCCTCAGTAGATGAAATCTCCCTCCAAAGAGACCCTCCCCGAGCCAGACCTCAAGAATGTCCCTTCTTACGTGCAAGTTCAGGGGTCCCCAAGACCACCTTCAGGTCGAATCATTCACTACAAGGACTCACAGAACTCAGGAATGCTGTTGTACTCATGGATACTCAGTTACAGTTTATTTCACTGGAAGTATGAGATTAAGGTCAGCAATGTGAAAAGGCTTGCAGGGAAGGGTCTTGGAGAGACTGCACACAAGCTTCCAGTTGTCCACTCCCTGTGGAGTCATGTGGACAACACTTACTTCTCCCAGCGATGATGTATGACAACACACACACAATACTGCCAACCAGAATAGCTCATCTCAGCCTTGGTTTCCAGGGTTTTTATTGGGGGTCAATCGTATAGACACAACTGACCACCCACATAGCTGACTTCAGTCTCTAGCACCAACATAGGTCAGGCTAATATACTGTGGTCCAAGGCCCCCACCACAAAGTACACTGCTGGCACAGACTATCCAGTGTGGCCCACGGCCACAGGTCAACAAAGACTCCTATCAACCAGCACATTCCAAGAGCTTAGAGGTTACTTCCCAGGAGCCAAGGGCAAAGGGCTAGGTATCTTTTTGAACAAACTTAATCCTTTCCTGCATAGCAGAACCACACAGAATGCTCCAACTACTGAAGATTTTTTCATAAGAATCTGATCTCTGGTCTTGAACTTCTAAATCTCTGTATAATATGGAATGTCTGTAGTTACAAGAAATAGCGATGGACCGTTATCACCAGAAGAGAACCAAAGGCTGGAGCCCAGCTGCCCGAGGCTGCCCAAGGAGCCAGCACAACTGGTGGTCATGACCTTAGAGGCTGTCTGTTCCAAGCACCTTCTGCCAAGACTCAGCCCCAGGAGAACATCTGTAGCCAGGGTGCTAATATTGACAAGATGCTGGCAACCCATCAAGGTAAAGCACGAAGTTGTTTCCAAAACAAGGAGGAAGAGACACCGAGGAAGCAGAAACTACAGAAGAAACATTTCCCACAGACCAGGACCCAGGGCGCAAAACTGCTCAGATACAACTGACCTCTTTACTTTGAAATGGTCTTGATGCCAGGCACTAGAATTCCTCTTACAGACAGAACTGTCTGTTGGAGAAGATACCCTAGGGAGACAGAGACCTTGGACCAGAATGCAAGGCATGAGCTGCTCTGCAAGAGAGATGAGAAGGATTCAGCTTTGCTCTGGACTGATGGGAGGGTGCAGGACAGAGAAGGATGGGGACAAAATGGGACTCGGCGGGACGGGAGGGGGAGCAGTGGGGTAACGAGGCCAGTGGGCTCCATAGTGTCAGGGACACAAAGGGAGATTTGTAGCCTTGCTGCCATATAAACCCCTGACCGTCCCCAGCCCCCAAACATCTCATTAAAGTTTATTTATTAACCTCAAGTGGCTGTGTGCAAGGGGGTCTTTTGTGGGAACTGAGGAGAGACCAAGTTTCATGTGGGCTGTCACTGGGTGAGATGGAACCAGAGGTGTGGAGGCAAGACCTTGAATCAAGAAGATCATAAGGACACAAGTCCCCAGAATTCTCAGACACCAAGGGGAGTGCGCACCTTATTTCTCTTTCTCTCTCTCTTTAATTTAACTAGAAAATACAGGCATACCTCAGGTATTGCCGGTTCAGTTTCAGACTATAGCAATATAGCAAATATCACAATAAAGATGTTGCAACATAGTGGATATCGCAATTAAGCAAGTCATGCAATTTTTTGTTTTCTAGTGCATATAAAAGGAATGTTTGCACTATACTGCAGTCTATTAGGTGTACAGCAGCATTATGTCTAAAAAATGTACATACATCAACTTTAAAGTGCTTTATTGCTAAAAAATGCTAACCATCATCTGAGCCTTCAGTGAGTCATAATCTTTTATGACTTACAGTCAACAGTAACAGCAGACTTACAGCTGTTATAACAACTGTGGGGCCAACTGACATCCTTCAAAGTCCAACAACCCCCGTTTCTGGGCTCTCAGATGTCTGCCTGTGATCCCTCAGCAGGCAAAGTACATTCTTTACTGGGCATGTTTCCACTAACAAACTAACAGCCCTAGGTAATGCTCAGGCTGGTTTGTTCAGCCCACCTAATCAGTCATAAACCACACCGCCCTTCACGGACCCTAAACTTCTTACCTCACCTACAACCAATCAGAGACTTGTGCACAAGCCCATCAGGCACCTTATGACCCTTATAAAAGACCCCAACAACCAGCCCTCGGTGCTCACACAGGCACCTCTCGTCTGTGTGGCCCACTGGTTGCCTATAGCAGTGTAACCTAATAAACTCCCTTACTAGCTCCTCCTTCATCTTTGTAAATTCCTTTACCAACCCGCATCACCACATCTCTGACTGGACACCACTGTTTCCCACAACATCAAAGATCACTGGCCACAGATCACCATACCAGACAGAATAAAGAGAAAGCTTGAAATATTGAGAGAATTACCAGCGTGTGACATAGAGACACGAAGTGAACAAATGCTGTTGGAAAAATGGCACAGAACTGTTTGACCCGGGGTTGCCACAAACCTTCAATTTGTAAAAAATGCAATATCTGCAAAGCACCATAAAACAAAGAGCAATAACATGAGCTCTGCCTGTACAGAAAATCCCCAAACTGAAAGTTATAAAAGCACCTCAGGGGTCCACTTTGAGTTAATTTTGCATATAGGGTATAAGGTTAAGGGTCCAACTTCATTTTTTTGCATGTGGATATCCAGTTTTACACATTTGAATTAACACCACAAAATTGTACACTCAAAGGGGGAGGGTATAGCTCAGTGGTAGAGTGTGTGCTTAGCAAGCACGAGGTCCTGGGTTCAATCCCCAGTGCCTCCATTAAAAAAAAATTAAAATAAATAGACCTAATTACCTCCCCTGCAAAAAAAAAATCATATAATAAATAAATGGTACACTTAAAAGTAGTTAAAATGGCAAATCTTTTGCATCTCTGTCACCTCAATTTTAAAAAATTAATAACATGATACATCAAAAACCTTTGACTTGTACCTTTTGGGTAGGGGGAGTTGTGTTACCACAAACTTAGTAGCTTGAAAAACACAAAATTATTCGTTTACAGTTCTGGAGGTCAGAAGTCTGAAATGAGTCTTGGAGGGTTAAGATCAAGGTGTGGGGAGGGCTGGTTCCTTCTGGAGGCTCCAGGGGAGAGGCCCTTTCCTTGCCTTTCCAGCTTCTAGAGGCTGCCTGCGTTCCTTGGCTTACAGCCCCGCACTGCATCACCATTCCCCTCCCCACTCCATTATTACATCACCTTCTTTCTTCTTTGACCTTCCTGCCTCCCTCCTTCCCTTATGAGGACCCTTGTGATGACATTTACGGCTCCCCCTAGACAATGCAGGATAAACTCCCCATCTCAAGGTCTCTAACTTAATCACATCTGCAAAGTCCGTTTGCCATGTAAATAGACATATTCACAGGTTCCAGGGATTAGGACCTGGGTATCTTTGGGGACCCATTATTCTATTTGCCTCTCCTACCCTGGGCCCCTGCTCCACCGCAGATAACCATGGCACTGCTTTCTGGTAAGTTTATTTTATTTTTTTTCCTGGTAAGTTTATTTTTGCACAGATGATACACACATGTATTTTCCTCTGCAATAGGTTATGTCTCATACACACCGTTCTGCCCCTTGCTTTTATTACCTAAATTTTCTGGAAATTCAGAGAGAGCCTCTTTAGTCTTTTTATAGCCACACTGTCCTCCTCCCCAGGGGCTGTTCAGGACTTTTTCAACCAGGCCCCTATGGATGGATATTTGTATTGTTTGCACCCTTTCACTATTAGGAAAGCGATGTAGTAAGTGAATGACCTTGCGTGCTGTCACTAAGCATGGGTATTGGGACATACTCTGGAGGTGAAATTACTGGATCAAAGGTAGTGCCCCTTGGGTGGACCTAGAGATGATCATACCAAGTGAAGTAAGTCAGACAGAGAGAGACAAATATCATATGATACCACGTATATGTGCAATCAAAAAAAATGATTACAAATGAACTTGTTTATAAAACAGAAACAGACTCTCAGACATAGAAAACAAACTTGTGATTACCAAAGGGGAAAGGTGGGGGAGGGATAAATTAAGGAGTTTGGGATCAACAGATACACACT